TTGTAAGGTGCTAGATACTAATACAACTTTTTCTTGTTTATGTGAAAAAGCTGAAGTTACTATATAATAAGAGAAACCCCTACTTTGTGTGCATCTTTTTCCTATTGCTTTTTTTTATATCTGTCCAATAAAATATGAATTTTGTATAGTCTACCAAAGGGAATAAAGTTTTCAGCACACAAGGGTTCCTTCTGTTACAAAGTCCCAGTGTCCTTTTGTTTCCTGGTCTAATCAGAGAAAGCGGTACCTTTTTTTCCTCTTTTACCAGTTAATGTGTCAGTAACCCTGTCTGAAACAGGACGTCATTATAGTCAGCTGTTGAGCATCTGTGCTATAGGTGACAAATCATGACTTTGCTTTGGAAATGTTTTAAATATGTACTAAACATAGTTTCATTATTATTTATGCAAATATTAAATGGAACTTTAAGTTAGAAAAGGAAAGTTGACTAGAATAAAAAAGTTTGTTACTGGCCATGAAGATAATACATGCTACTGTGTTAAATATGGCTCTTGAGAAGAGAGATGTCTGTCCTATTTTCTCTGCCCCTAAAAATGACCTACCTTGTTAAAGGTGGAGAGTCCTGTTGGTGGGCATTGTGGCACACCGGTTACACTGATCTTGGGACTCCCATATCCCATGTAGGAGTGCCTAGATTTGAGTCTTGCCTCCATTTCAGATCCAACTTCTTGCTTACATGCATCCTGGGAAGGCAGCAGGTGATGGCTCAAGTACATGGGTCCCTGGCACTCATGTGTGTACCAGATTGACGTCTAGGCTCCTGACTTCAGCCTGACCCAGCCCTAGCTTTAAAGGCTTTTGGGGAACGATCCAGCGAATAGAAGATTTTATGTGTGTGAGTGCACATGCGTGCACGCTCTCTGCCTTTCAATTAAATAAAAATGCACAATTAACACTTAAAGACAAATAGTAAAAACTAGAGCAGTGATGAAGATTAACGTTTAGAGAGGCTGGAAAAAGGTATTTGGACTAGAACTCAGGTAGAAACTTGTTCAAAATTCAGTCTTTTTGAAAGATAAATGCTGGATAATTCTACTTATGAGGTACGTAGGTTGTCACACTCAAACACAAAGTATAATGGTGATTGCCAGGGGCTGGGTATAGGGGGAAATGGGAATTATATTTTAATGGGTATAGAGTTCAGTTTTGCAAGTTAAAAAGCCTTCTGGACATTGGTTACATGATGGTATCAGTGTACTTAACAGTGGTAGGCCGGCGCCGCGGCTCACTAGGCTAATCCTCCGCCTGCAGCGCCGGCACCCCAGGTTCTAGTCCTGGTCAGGGCACTGGATTCTGTCCCGGTTGCTCCTCTTCCAGTCAAGCTCTCTGCTGTGGCCCGGGGGTGCAGTGGAGGATGGCCCAAGTCTTTGGGCCCTGTACCCGCATGGGAGACCAGGAGGAAGCACCTGGCTCCTGGCTTCAAATCAGCATGGTGCACCAGCCGCAGCAGCCATTGAGGGGTGAACCAGCGGAAAAGGAAGACCTTTCTATCTCTCTCTCTCACTGTCCACTCTGCCTGTCAGAAAAAAAAAAAAAAAAAAACACTGGTGAACTGTACATTTAAAAATGGCTGGGCAGGTAGCATTGTGATGCAGCAGGTTAAGCTGCCTCCTGCAACTCCAGCAGGAGTTCAAGTCCTGGTTGCTCCACTTCCTACCCAGCTCCCTGCTAATGCTCCTAGGAGGGCAGCAGAAGATGACCCAAGTGCTTGGGCCTCTGCCACCCACGTGGGAGACATGGATGGCTTTGTAGGCTCCTGGCTTCAGCGTGGCCCAGCGCGTGGGCTGTTGTGGCCATTTAGGGACTGAACTAATGGATGGAAGATCTCTGCAACTCTACCTTTCAAATAAATGAAATCTTTTCTAAAAAATAAAAGTGGTTCGGGGCTGGTGTTTAGCCTAGTGGTTAAGTTGCCTGTGTTCTGTGGAGTAATTGGATTCAATGTCTGGCTCTGCTGCTGACTCCAGCTTCCTGCTAATGCAGACCCTGGGAGTCAAGAGTGATGGCTCATGTAATTGATTTCCTGTCCAGAAAAGCCCAGCATGAACCAGTGGATTGGGGAGTGCTCTCTTGGACTCACTCGCTGTCCGCTCTCTCTTCATCTGTCTCTCAGCTGCTTTCAAATTTTTTTAAAAAAGTAAATAAAGAAGTATTTAGTGATATATTTTGTTGTGGGTATTTTACCACATTTTTTGAAATTCTGTCTCTGACTTCCGGTTTCTAGAAACTTTGAGCGGGTGTAGTGAAAGAGTATAAGCTTTAAAATGTGACAAATATAAATCTGAAACCCAGGCCTACTGCTCACTACCTTTGTGACCTCATGCAAGATAATTATTGGACCCTCAGTTCCCTAATATACAAACAGGTTATACCATAATATAGGGGATATTGGTGTAATGTCCTAATGTGTTAAGTGCCAATAGCTCCTGCTATTCCTATTTTTTGACATTTAATTTTCAAGCAACTCATAGTGAGACGGAGAAACCTTGAGGCAGAGGCAACTGGTTTCTCTGTTTTTATTTACTAAGCTATCAGATGGAATTTTAGTAACTAGTTTACAAGATAAAACAGATTTTGTGGCTACCACTGTTATCTATGCGATGGGATAAGCCCTAAACCATATTCTGCTAGTCTTCATTCAGTCCATGACCTCCCCTCTCTATTCCTTAGGGTGAAAGCGCGAATTGGAAGCTCTCAGCGACAACACCAGTCAGCAGCCAAAGACCTAACTCAGTCCCCTGAAGTCTCCCCAACAACCATCCAGGTGACGTACCTCCCCTCCAGTCAGAAGAGTAAACGTGCCAAGCACTTCCTCGAATTGAAGAGCTTTAAGGACAACTACAACACACTGGAGAGTACTCTGTGACAGAGCTGAAGGACTCTCACTGTAGACTGAGCCAGACAGACTCAGTGTGCAAGACAGGCGCTCGCTGGGCCCCGATGTATCAGCTGACGCGCACATTGTGTCCAGGGTTCATAGGGCTTGCACTGTGATCTCCAGCTCATTATTAGGAGCATTTTCAGAACATCAACTCGGACTTTATTTCCACTAGTAGCACTTTTTCTGGATTTCAGTTCGTATGTCATTGTTAATGTTTCTGTCAAAGCTTCCTTAAATATCTTTACTTGGTTGGCAACAAACATCATGGTGCAGTGCATCAAGCGCCGGCGCTGGAACACCCACATCCCATATTGAAATGCCAGTCTGAGTCCTGGCTACTCCACTTCTGATCCAGCTACCTGTTAATGCACCTGGGAGGCAGTGGATGATGGCCCAGGTACTTGAGTTCCTGCCATCCACATAGGAGAACTGGATGGAATTCCTCCTGGCTCCACCCTGGCTATTGCAGGTGATTGGGGAATAAACCAACAAATGGGAGATCTATCACTCTGCCTTTCAAATAAATCTTTAAAAAAAAATGTCTTTTAAAAATATAATTTGGCACCAATGTTGTGGCACAGTGGGTAAGCCACTGCTTATTACGTCGGCATCCTATATTGGAATGGCTGTTCAAATCGTGGCTACTCCACTTCCAACCCAGTTTCCTGCTAATGTGCCTAGGACCGCAGTGGAAGATGGTCCAAGTACTTGGGCTCCTGCTACCTATGGAGGCCATCTGGATGGAGTTCCTGGTTTCTGGCTTCAACTAGCTATTGTGGCCATTTGGGAAGTAAACTAGCAGGTGGAAGATATCCCTCTCTCCCCCAGCCCATAACCTCCCCTCCCTCCTCCATCTCCAGCTTTCAAATAAATCTTTAATAAAAAAAAATATTTACTTGGTTTTGGGCATGGTTTTCCTGCTCCATTCTTGGCGACTTAATCCCTGATGTGAGAGCTGGGATGAGGTCTCATCTGTCTGGCCATTTGTGTCTGATTAGGAACCGTTTGAGTTACGGAGTCTCAGAAGGGCAGACAGGAACTGGTGGATGAGGCAGTGGGTGGAACAATTTACACTGGTACTCCAGTTAAACCAGGATTAACAGCTTTCCTGACAAGACTCATCCTATCCACTAGGCAGTTGTGGTGTAGCAGGTAAGGCTGCTGCCAGTGATGCCAGCATCCCGTATGGGTGGCGGTTCAAGTCACTGCTAGTGTACTTCCAATCCAGCTTCCTGGTGGTGGCTTGGAAGAGGACTGGAAGATGGCCCTGGTGTTTGGGACCCTGTACCCATATGTAAGAAGTGGGTGAAGCTCCTGGCTCCTGGCTTCAGCCTGGCCATTGAGGCTATCTGAAGGTTGAACCAGCAGATAAAAGATCTCTCTCCCTCTAACTCAAATTTTTTAAAAATATGCTGTGAAAAAAATTTTCTGACACCTGCCATAATTTACTCCAGGCTATGTGTGTGAAGAAATGGTTTTCCCAATGCACTGATATGATTTTATACAATAACTTCAATAAGATGAATTACTAAAAATATACATGGTGAAACAGGTTAAGCCTCTGCTTGCTACGCTGGCATCCTATATGGATGCTGGTTCAAGTCCCTGCTGCTCCACTTCAGTCCCGTTTCCCTGCTAATATGCCTGAAAATGGCAGAAGAATGCCCAAGTACTTGGGCCCTTGCACCCACATGGGAGACCTGGAAGAAGCTCCTGGCTCCTGGCTTCAATCTGTCCCCACCCTAGCTGTTGCAGCCATCTGGAGAGTAAACCAGTGGATGGAAGATATTTCTCTCTCCCCTTCTCTCTCTAACTTTGCCTTTCAAATAAAATCTTATATGTGTGTGTATATATATATATATCTATATAAATATGTATGTGTATATATATTTAAAAGTGGGCATTTACTCCCTAAGTGCCCACAATGGCCAGACTGAAGCCAGGAGTCTGGAACTCGTTCCAAGTCTCCCACATGGGTGACAAGGACTCAACCACTCAAGCCATCACCTGCTGCTTCCCAGGGTCTGCATCAGCAAGAGGCTGCGATCAGGGAGGGAGCCAGAACTTGAACCCAGGTACTCTCATGTGGAACGAGGGCATCTTAACTGCTAGACCAAGTGCTCACATGGAATAGTCTTTAAAAATGGGTATACGATATGTTCTCTGCACCTTCCTGATAAGGTATGAACATTTGCCTATAGAGAACTGTTGGGGCTCTGTATACCTTGGACCTAGGACTATACAGGTAAGTTGAGAAGCCCAACAAAAGAAATCCTGAAATAGGGACAGTGGCACTTGCTCACAGAGCTGCCTGTGTCATTAATAAAAGGCTAAAACCCAGGATTACCTTCGGGTCTCCAGGCCAACAGGCTGGGTGACCAATCCACTGGCAGGCTCAGGGACATTGTTGGGAGGCAGAAATGTTGCTATGACTACTGAAACCTCGGTGACAGCTAAACAGAAAGGAGAGCCTACTCAGTCTAAGACTGAATCAAACAAGTCTGCAGACATGTCCATGGAAAAGATGATGAAGACAGAAGAGGTACGTGCAGTTGGGCGAGGGGCTGGGCTGAAAGTATGTTAATTAGGTTTCCAGGCCAATTGCCCAGAAGTGCACCATTTACTGGGAAAGGCCCTTGATGTCACAGAAGGATGAAGTTACTAACAGGAGTGGAAGACTGTCCAGCATTTAGTAGGTATTCAAATAGGTGAATACCCCAGCCCCTGCATGTGAAGGTGGAGAGCTTGCTTTCTCCTTCCCCTACAATCTGACCACTGCCTGTCTCCGAGGAGGAAGGCCTGTGTGTCTCCCACTGCAAGAGGGTACTGAGGCTGAGGTTCTGGAGATCACGGCAGGTCAGCACAACTTCTTTTCTTGCAGAATTTTCAAAGGTTCACGGACTTTAAGAAGATGGTTGACAGGTAATTCTATGTCCTCCCCTTCTCCGACCCTTCGGCTTTGCCCCCTCCCAACTCTGCTTCATCATGTCAGGGTCTCATCAAGGAATATGAGGAGGGGAAGCAGCCTTGTGCTCAAAGCAAATAGAGATCAGCCTCCTAGTGGCCACTCGGCTAGTCCACCAGACTGTACGGTTTTATTTCCCCCTGTTTTCCTCCCTCTTGACGGGACACAGGGGCAAGCCGATGTTTGCTTTACTTTATTGGAAAAGTATTTATTGGGGCCAGTATTGTGCCAATCATGTGGCAGACCTGAATGGAGTTCCAGGCTCCTGGCTTCCACCTGGCCCAGTCCTAGCTGTTGTGGCCATTTAAGGAGTGAACCAGTGGATGGAAGATCTCTGTCTCTTCCTCTCTCTCTACCTTTCAAATGAATAAATAAATCTTTTTTTTTTTTCAATGAAGCTAGGGTGAAAATCGAAAGAAGCCATGTTTTTTTTCATTTGACAGATAGTTAGAGAGACAGAGAGAAAGGTCTTCCTTCCGTTGGTTCACCCCCTAAATGGCTGCTACGGCCGGAGCTATGCAGATCCAAAGCCAGGGGCTAGGTGCTTCCTCCTGGTCTCCCATGCGGGTACAGGGCCCAAGCACTTGGGCCATCCTCTACTGCCTTCCTGGGCCACAGCAGAGAACTGGACTGGAAGAGGAACAACTGGGACAGAATCCGGCGCCCATATGGGATGCCGGCGCTGCAGGCAGAGGATTAGCCAAGTGAGCCAAGGCGCCAGCCCTAAAAAAATCTATTTTTAAAAAATGTTTTAAATAAGTTTATAAAAATGTACTTATTGTGGCCACCATTGTGGTGTAGCAGGTTAAGCCGCTGCTTGTGACACCAGCATCTTATATCAAACACGAGTTCAAGCCTTGGCTAGTCCACGTCCACGTTCAATCTGCTTCCTGCTAATGTGCCAGGGAAGGCCGCAGATGGCCCAAGTACTCCCAGTGAGAGACAAGGATGAAGTTTGGCCTGGCCCAGTCCTAGCCGTTGTGATCATTTGGAGACTGAACCAGCAGATGGAAGATCTCTCTCTCTCTCTGTCTCTCTGCCTATTGAGTAAATATTTTTTAAAAAATGGTTTATTTGAGCCACGGCACCGTGGCTCACTAGGCTAATCCTCCGCCTTGCGGCGCCGGCACACCGGGTTCTAGTCCCGGTCGGGGCGCTGGATTCTGTCCCGGTTGCCCCTCTTCCAGGCCAGCTCTCTGCTGTGGCCCAGGAGTGCAGTGGAGGATGGCCCAAGTGCTTGGGCCCTGCACCCCATGGGACACCAGGATAAGTACCTGACTCCTGCCATCGGATCAGCGCGGTGCGCTGGCCGCAGCGCGCTGGCCGTGGCGGCCATTGGAGGGTGAACCAACAGCAAAAGGAAGACCTTTCTCTCTGTCTCTCTCTCTCTCACTGTCCACTCTGCCTGTCAAAAAAAAAAAAAAAAATTTATTTGAGAGTCATGGAGACAGAGACAAACAGAGCTTCATTCTCTCGTTCACTCCCCAGGTGCTAGCCACAGCCAGGAGCCAGGAACTCAATCCAAGTCTCCCACATGTGTAGTGGGAGCGCAATTATCTGAGCCACCACTCAATTATCTGAGCCACCACTGCTGCCTCCCAGGATCCACATTAGCGGGAAGCTGAAACCCAGAGTGGAGCCAAGACTCAAATCCAGGCACTCCAATATGGCCTGCAGGCATCCCCACCAGTGTCTTTAATGTTCTTTTTTTTTTTTTTTTGATAGGCAGAGTGGACAGTGAGAGAGAGAGACAGAGAGAAAGGTCTTCCATTTGCCGTTGGTTCACCCTCCAATGGCTGCCCCGGCCGGCGCGCTGCGGCCGGCGCACCACTCTGATCCAAAGGCAGGAGCCAGGTGCTTCTCCTGGTCTCCCATGGGGTGCAGGGCCCAAGCACTTGAGCCATCCTCCACTGCACTCCCTGGCCACAGCAGAGAGCTGGCCTGGAAGAGGGGCAACCGGGACAGAATCCAGCGCCCCGACCAGGACTAGAACCCAGTGTGCCGGCGCCGCAGGCGGAGGATTAGCCTATTGAGCCACGGCGCCGGCCCGTCCCACTTATTTTTAAGGAAAAGTCAAGTTTCTTGCCCAGCTTTCTACTAATTTTTTGTTAGTTATTGCAGTATTTATTTGTTGAAAACATGAATGAGGAGACTCAAAAGACTGGACTGCATACGTATTTCACCTGGTGAGCTTTTTTTTTAGTAATCCAATTTTTTTTTTTAAGATTTATTTTATTTATTTGAAAGAGTTACAGAGAGAGGTAGAGGCCCCACCTGGTGAGCTTTAAAAAAACTCAACCCAGGTCTTATCTGGGGAGATTCTGATTAAAATATTCTGGGATGGAGCCAGCGCTGTGGCACAGCAGGTTAACGCCCTGACCTGAAGCGCCAGTTCGAGACCTGGCTGCTCCACTTCCGATCCAGCTCTCTGTTATGGCCTGGGATAGCAGTAGAAGATGGCCTAAGTCCTCGGGCCCCTGAACCTACGTGGGAGACCTGGAAGAAGCTCCTGGCTCCCGGCTTCAGATCGGTGCAGCTCCGGCCTTTGCAGCCAATTGGGGAGTGAAACATAGGATGGAAGACCTCTCTCTCTGCCTCTCCTCTCTCTGTGTAACTCTGACTTTCAAATAAATAAATAAATCTTTAAAAAAAAAAAAAGGCAAGTAAGCACAACATGCTCAATATTATTAGTCTTTACAGAATATCAAATTAAAACCAAAATAAGGAACGACTACACACTTTTTAAAAAAAATAGTCTGGGATGGGATAGGAGAAGACTATTTTCAAGATTTCACAGTCTGGGGTCTACTAATGTACATCCTGAGAGGAAACAGGTAATTTTATTTATTTGAAAGAACAAGCGAGACTGAGAGTGAGAGCACGCATGAGACAGAAAGAGACACAGAGCGATTGCTTTTCCATCTGCTGGTTCATTCTTCTTCTTCTATCTGTGTTCTTTCTAGTTTTGGGACAGGGCAGAAGTGGGATAGTGAGAGAGAGAAACAGAAAGGTCTTCCTTTGCCATTGGTTCACCCTCCAATGGCCGCCACGGCTGGCACACTGCGGCCGGCGCACCGCGCTGATCTGAAGGCAGGAGCCAGGTGCTCCTCCTGGTCTCCCATGGGGTGCAGGACCCAAGCACTTGGGCCATCCTCCACTGCCTTCCCATGCCACAGCAGAGAGCTGGCCTGGAAGAGGGGCAACCGGGACAGAATCCGGCTCCCCAACCGGGACTAGAACCCGGTGTGCCGGCGCCACTAGGTGGAGGATTAGCCTATTGAACCACGGCGCCGGCCTGCTGATTCATTCTTCAAATGCCCACAACACCACTTTGAGCACCTCTTCCCATATCACCAGTGTCCGAGTTCGAGTCCCATCTCTACTTCCCACCCAGCTTCCTGCTCAGATGATGACTCAAGTACTTGGGTCCTTGCCACCCTCGTGGGAGACCCTGAGGAAGCTCCTAGGTCCTGGATTCGGCCTGCCTCACTGGTGTGGGCATCTGAAGAGTGAACCAGCAGGTGGAAAAGCAATCTCTCTGTCTCTGTCTCTTTCTGTCTCATGCGTGCTCTCACTCTGTCTCACTTGCTCTTTTTTTTTTTTTTTAAGATGTATTTATTTGAAAGTCAGAGTTACACAGAGAGAGGAGAGGGAGAGAGAGAGTGCGAGAGAGAGAGAGAGAGAGAGAGAGAGAGAGAGGTCCTCTATCCAATGGTTCACTCCCCAGATGGCCGCAATGGCCGAAGCTGTGCTGATCTGAAGCCAGGAGCCAGGAGCTTCTTCTGTGTCTCCCACGTGGGTGCAGGGGCCCAAGGACTTGGGCCATCTTCTACTGCTTTCCCAGGCCATAGCAGAGAGCTGGATCGGAAATGGAGCAGCCAGGACTAGAACCAGCGCCCATATGGGATGCCAGCGCTTCAGGCCAGGGTGTTAACCCACTGCCGCCACAGTGCTGGCCCCATGCTCATGCTCTGTCTTTCAAATAAATAAAATTACTTGTTTCCTCCCAGGATGCACATTAGCAGGAAGCTGGAATGGAGAACTGAGCAGGCAGGGACGTACTTAAACAACAGGCGCTCTGGTATGAGATGTAGGCATTTCAAGTGGCAGCTTAACACTAAATCAAGCCGGCGCTGTGGCTCAATAGGCTAATCCTCCACCATGCGGCGCCGGCACACCGGGTTCTAGTCCCGGTTGGGGAGCCGGATTCTGTCCCGGTTGCCCCTCTTCCAGGCCAGCTCTCTGCTATGGCCAGGGAGTGCAGTGGAGGATGGCCCAGGTGCTTGGGCCCTGCACCCCATGGGAGACCAGGAAAAGCACCTGGCTCCTGGCTCCTGCCATCGGATCAGCGCGGTGCGCCGGCTGCAGCGGCAGCCATTGGAGGGTGATCCAACGGCAAAGGAAGACCTTTCTCTCTCTGTCTCTCTCTCTCACTGTCCACTCTGCCTGTCAAAAAAAAAAAAAAAAAAAAAAAAAAAAAAACCACTAAATCAAATGTCTACCTCCTTAAGATGTACATTTAATGTATTTCTATGTGAATTTAATTTTTTAGTCATGTGAAATAAATACTTCCATTTCTAAAAGATTTATTTATTTGAAAGGTGGAGTTACAGAGAGGCAGAGGGAAAAAGAGAAAGAGGTCTTCCATCCACTTTTTCACTCCCCAAATGGCTGCAATAGCCAGAGCTGGGCCAATCTGAAGCCAGGAGCCAGGAGCTTCCTTTGGGTCTCCCACACAGGTGCAGGGGCCTAAGGTATTGGGCCATCTTCTGCTTTTCCAGGCTGTAGCAAAGAGCTGGATCGGAAATGGAGCAGCCAAGACTCAAACGTGGCACCCATATGGGATGCCGGTGCT